CGCCCCGCCCTCCGCGCCTCTCCACGCGAGGCGCCCGCGGGGACGCCGGGCGGAGTTGAAGAAGTTTCTGGGGTCACTTTGTTCTCCACTTGGGCGCGAGCCGTGCGCCTGAGGTGGCCGACGCCACAGCTGCCCCCTGCCCTGCGCGCCGCGCCTGTAGTAAGGTTGTTTTAAAAAAAATTCTGGGGCTCCTCCCCTGAAAATTCTGATTCAGTAAGTTTGTCAGGGCTCAGATCCAGAAGCTCTAAGGCCCACTCTTAGTGGGGCAGAGCAGAGGGAACACAGCAGAGTCAACTAGGAAGGTTCTTGGAGCTACCCACACTCCAACCCTCCTTCCTCCCCCCATTATGAAAACCCCTGCCCAGCCTCTCCCAACTGGCCTCCTGGCCCTGACCCTTTCCCTGTCCCCTTGTGATTCTAATGCAAACTATGTTGCTCTCAAACTGTGGTTCCTAATTCAGGCTGCACTGGTTTCTATTCCCAAAGGTTCTGATTTAACTGGTCTAAGGCAGGGCTTAATAAGAGTATTTTAAAGAACTCCTAAAGTAATTCTAGTGTGCTGCTAAGGCAGAAAACCATTGTTTTCAGGAAAGTGGTGAATATATAAATTTGGATAGGTACAGTAGAGTTAAAGACAAGAGTATAGATTTGACCTAATAGGTAATAGGCAATCTTCATTGGTTCTTGAACAAGAAAGTAACATTATTAAAACAGTGTTTTGGGAAGCTTAATTTACCAGGGTCTGAATGGAAGGCAGACTCTAGGGCAATGGGAAGGGGTGAGATTCTAGGTAATAAGTATAAATCATATATAACCGTGAAATGGGAAGATAACTACAGGGGCTGGGGAGAATGAGAATATATGATCTTCCAAGAGAGTGTGTCCCCACTAAAAAATCTAAGCTAAACTAGGCTATAATTACACTTTGTCAATAATATGAAGTTGCAAATGTCATTTCCCAATTTTGGACATAAGACTAAGGAATGAACTTAAACTTGTGCTGTGTCAAAGGATAATAAAGGTGTTCAACTGCTTCTCAGCCCTTTGGCTAAGATATAGTATCTGTTTACATCAGTTTAATAAAGGTGTTGAGTCATAGTGGGGGAAAAAATTCCTTAAGGTCCTCTTTTAATACTATTTGAAAAAAAAAAGTCCATTCAGACACTTATAAAGTATTAGCAAGACTTAAAATCATTGCTATTATTACCCATAAATGTTAAAGAAAAAAGAACAGACATTGTTGCTATTTTAGAAGCCTGTTCCTTCCACTTGGGCTGCTTTCCGTCATTTGTGCTTAATGAAAAATCTACTCATCCTTTGTGCGAAGTCTCCAGATCATTCCAAGCAGAAGCTGTTCTCTTCCTCCTTTAAACCTTACTACCTTGTATCTCTCGTTAAGGCACTTAACGCATGCAACCTGAGCAGTCTATATGTAAAGGGAGGAAAGGAGTAAAGATAGGTAGTCCCTTCTAAGGTATAGAACCCTTGATGTTATTTTCCCTATTTTTAAGTTGTCTCAATCAATTATCAAGCAAATATACCATGCTTAGAACATTGTAACCTATATCCCCAGGGCACAGGAGGAGAGCATGTTGGATTACCTGTGGAAAAGGCTATGCCCAAGCATGTGTTGAAGCCAGTGATGGCCAGAATGTCATCGAAGCTGCCAGCAGCCATGAGTAAGGTTGGGACACCCTTTTCAACACCATAGCCTCCTCCCTGCAAAAGGAGCATCGAAGGCACCACAACAGCTGGAGATACAGCACCTAAAACAAAACTAAGTAGGTAGTACTTTAACCATTTATGATAGTATCTCACTCAATATTATTATTTTTTTGAAGTTATAATAACCTCTACTCTTTTACAGGTTAGACTTTGGACAACTACAGTTTCTCAAATGGCAGAAGAACACTAAACCAAAAACACATATACACACAAAAGTTCCACAGAACATGGTTTTCAAAGTGTGACCATGGACAACCTGCTTCGGAACTACAGAGATTACCTAAAAATGTGTGTTTACGAGTGGTATAAAAGACCTAATGGGGTTAGGCCTCAGGAAGCTGACATTTTTAAAACAAAACATTCATGTTATGAGGTTTGATAAACACTGCCATGGGCTTTCTGGATTAGAACCCAGTGATGCTGGTTGAGGGTATGGTATGTAAAATAAGGCAACAGATTAGAAGGAAAGGCCATGATGACAAGTGACAGTGATACTAATAACAGCAGCAGTCTTAAGAGCAGAAATAGTGCTTACTATGTGCCCAACACCAAATTGAGCACTTTACATATTAAACTAATTTAATCCTTACAACAAACCTATGAGATAGATACAATCTACCTTTAGTTTACAAATGAGAAATGAAAACTAACTTGTCAAAGAAAAAAATAATAATAACTGGTCAAAGATCATGTACTGGAAAATTACAGAGCTGGAATTGAATCCAGGCAGTAGAGCTCCAGAGTCTTTACCATAAGAAGTAAGAATTTCTTACTTTTTGCCTACTTATTAGCAATAAATTCTTACTACATACTTTCTTATTTATTTAATTCTCATGGCTCTTAGCCACTGGAAGTGAAAAACTGACAGTGGAAGAAAGAGATAGTGGAACCACCGAGTCCCAACAGTCTAGTGACAGAAGGAAAGCAGTGGCAGGGGCTGATCACTGTTGCTGTGTTTATCACCCTTTGTGCAGACTTCTGAGGCATATCTCTTATAGGTATGGAATTAGGTGCTGGCAAAAGACCATGACTTCTTCAATAGTTTGGATTATTATAATTACTGTAAAAGTTAGCACATACATAGACTATATTTTGAAGTTAGATTATTTAGATTATGCTGAAATAGCTATGCTGTGTTTTCTGGTGTCTTTAAGAAACTGCCATGATGCATTCTCTTGTATGGAATCAGGGAAAGTCCTAAACATTCCTGCATATTTTCATATAACAACAAAAAAAATTATCACCCCAGTATAAATCCCCATTGCCATGGTAAACCCATTAGAAAGTGGGCAAGAAGAGCAGATGCGCATGCCTCCACAAGACAGGGACCCAAAGAGAGTCTGACACAGACACTCTTCAACTTCTTCAGGGCCTGAAATATAAAAAAGAGATGTGATATTATGATATCATAATATATATCATGATATAAATATGGGTTTTCATCCTAAGGCAGGACTCTAATCTTACCCTGTCCTTCTGTCTTGGAGCTGGCTATAGAGAAGTTCTCTGATTTACCTTGACTGATTGTAGTCAAAAGACCTCCATTCAGGAAGGTCCTGCCCCATACCCAGGAGGATGCAATACTGCACAGAGAGGCCAAGAAGGATCTGAACAGACAGACCCTGCCGGTTTCCCCACCCAGTCTGTCAATGTTAGATCATATTCTTTTTGTCCAATCCCATTTCTACATGCTTCTTTATGCTTCAGTTATGCCTACGTAATGCAGCTTCCATAAAAATGCAAGAGCACAAGGTTTGGAGAACTTCCAGATAGCTGAACGTGTGGGGGTTCCTGGAAGGTGGTATGCCTGGGAAGGGCAGGGAAGCTCTGCAACCCTTTCCCAATACCCTGCTCTATGCATCTTCTCATCTGTATCCTTTGTAATATCCTTTATAAAAAAAGGATAAAAGTAAGTGATTCCCTGAGTTTTGTGAGCTGCTCAGCAAATCAATCAAACCAGAGGAGGGAGTAGTGGGGACCCTGATGTTTAGCTGTTGGTCAAAAGCTAGGTAAAACAACCTGGAGCTTGCTATTAGCATCTGAAGGGGGGGGGGGGCTGGAGTCTTGGGGACTGAGCCCTCAACCCATGGGATTTGACACTATCTCCAGGTAGACAGTGTCAGAATTGAATTGAATTGGAGGACATCCAGCTGGTATTCACTGTTGAATTGATTGCTGGCTTGCTTGGTGGTGGGGAGAAAACTCTACATATCTGGCCACAGAAGTCAGTCTTCTGTACTGATGAGTTTTGCTGAGTAACAATATAGGAAAAACACAGCCTGTGCTTTTCTTCTCCCAACAAGAGCCATACTTATATAGTCCTCTTAAGACATGCAAAGAAGATGACACTAAATGCCTTCTCTTCAGTATTCATGTCTGGGTCATCATGAATTTTCTAGGTAATAAGTTTTAGTTAACAAACATTTCAGCATTCTAAATATTCTAGAGACAGCTTAGTTAGTCTTCATAGGAAGTGTATGAAATAAGTAATATTGTTACCTCTACTTTTTAGATGTCCTCATCTAAAAAGGCACAAGTTAAAGTCATTTGCCTAAGGTCATGACACTGGTAAGTGGTGGAGTCAGGTTTGAACCCAGACAGGCTGCTTCCAGGGTCTGTGCTCAGAATCCCCATACTACCTGATTTAACCCTCTTAGTATTAGTTTTATTAATAACTGTGGCCCCGGAATGAGGCTAGGGTGAAAAGCCTCATCCCCTAAGAATGTCAAGAATATTCATTGCTGCATTCAAAAACATACATTAAAAAAATGCATACTTGAGACTCATTCTGTATACTAGGCAGTTTCCTAGGTCAGTACACTTAGCCCTAAACACCTGTTCAGGGCTTTGCACAACAAATATATGTCATTTTCTCTCCTAAAACTACATTATTTATAACTATGATCTATACTTCTGTCAGAGGAAAAGGAGCCTTTATTCTTGGTGCTGTCGCCACATATAGTAACTCCACCTTTCTCCAAGAAAGAGTATGGGAACATTTTGGGGGTTCTTGTGATGCATAAGGTTCTGCTTCCAAAATAGTCCTGCATGAAATAAATTCTATTCCCTGCTTGAGAATGTCTTGCAAAGTGTCCACATCCATTTCCTAAAGCTCAGTGATTCTAAATAATTGGAATATAGAAGGAATGAAATTCCTATTCAATAATTAGAAATTTACACTTCATACCTCGGAATCCAGCCCAAGGCCAGCACGAACCAATATGATGGACAGGGCTATGCTTCTCAAAGAGGAAGACCACTTGTGCTTGATCTGTACATTATCACTGATGACGGGGATATTTCTGATGAGAAACCCAGCAAGCAGCATGCCTTGAATGGAGAAGTCAGATAAGTCAAGTTAGTTTTCAAATACAGAAAATATTTTTCAGCACTTTAGATGTGAAAGAGACTACTATATAATCTCAGCAACCACTTCCCTTATACTTAGCCCTTAGATGAAATTAAGTTAAACATTTAATTTAGAAAATTAAAATAATAAATTAGAGGAGCTAAGAAAAGACTTTAGTGTACAGACAAAAAGATAGATTAGAGTAATATTCTCCAAAAACTGAACCTATAAGGGAGAAACAAGATGCAGCATTTGAACAGAGAGTATGATCAAATTCTAAATATAAAATGTTTTAATACAATGCCAGTTCAGTCATCCTTTTGTGTGCCAACAGCAAATAGCTCCTAAAATTATTTGCTATGTCAGAGTACCTGAAATATCAATAAATACTTAAATGGGTTCTATTTTATCTTCCAACCAGATAATTGAATAAGAAACATATAACCTACTTTGCAAAGGCTTTATAAATGTTGCGATAAAATAAATACAGCCCTGTCATATCGGCCTTTTTCATTAAGTCATTCAACATTTACAGAATACCTTCAGTATCTCAGACACTGCAGTAGGTATTAGAGATATAATAATGGACAAAGACTACCTAGTAGGGATGTAATAATGGACAAAGACTATGTCTCAACAAGGATTCAGCCCCTAGAGAAACAAGACAAATTGACAACCCCACTTTTATGAAAGCATGAGGGGGTGTTGTATGAGCTGAGACAGAAAGAGTGAGTAAGGGGGATCCAGAGAAGGGGAAAAAGAGAAGAGGGGGCTGGAGGTGTTGAGAAGTTTCTGGAAGAGATAGTAGTTTAACTAAAGGTATAAGAAAAAGTGACATTCTGGGAACTGCGAGTGGTTGAGTGTAACTGAGGAAGTTGAGTAATTTGTGAGGGAATTCTGTTCTCATTGATAACACATGCCCATGCAAAGGGGGAAGATTTCTTTGTCAGACACTGTGAGGCTTCTACCCTCCAGTCTTCTCCAGCAGTACCTTCTTCTCACCATGTCCTTATAAAAACCACACTTCAAATGACTAAATAAACTTACTAAAGTTGGGATATTTTTGTGATGCAATCTATGAGAATAGAGACAAATTACAAGTACAGCTTTTTGTGACTTGCTACAGACACTGTTAAGGCATGAAAGCATCACTTCCAGGCGTCTCTCATCACTGCATGCTGTGGTTTGAATGTCTGTCTCCTCCCTCCAAAACTCAAGCTGGAACTTAATTCCCAATATAATATTTGAAGAGTGGGGCCTTTAAGAGGTTATCAGATCATAAGGATTATGCTCTCATGAATGGATTAATCCATTAATGGGTTAATGGTTTAATGGGCTGTCAGGGAGTAGACTAGGGGCTTTATAAGGAGAGGAAGAAAGCATGTGGACAAGCTATTGCTTAGCACTCGCCATGTGATACCCTGTGGCACCATGAAACTCTGTAGAGAGTTCCTGCCAAATTGAAGCCCCTCACCAGATGTATCCCTTGACTTTGGGATTCCCAACTGCCAAAGCTGTAAGAAATACATTTCATTTTCTTATAAATTACCCACATTCAGGTATTCTGTTATAAGCAACAGAAAACTGACTAATATATTGCCATTTAGTCTAGAAGAAAGTCTCCAAGTTCTGAATTCAGCAGTCATGGTCTTTCTAGAATGTTTATTCTAGAAACATAAGAACAGGCCTACAATAGCCACTTTAAAAAGAAATAATGATTAGTAACATATGCATATGGTAAAATTAAAACATTACAGACAAATGTAAAGTAGCAAGTACATGCTGTACCCCAAGTGCAACTTTCCATCTTCATTCCCCAAGGTTTCCACTGTTAAGGGTTTTCTATGCCCTTCCAGAAAGCTTCTATACCCATTCAAGCTTGCCTCTGTGTGTATGTGTGTATGTGCTCTTTTGTGCAGGACACAAATGGGAGCATACTTATCTATTGTTGTACAACTTATGGTTCTTTTTTACTTAATATATCCTGGATATTTTCCCATTTCTGAAGCACATATGTATTTGCCATATTCTCTTTTAATAGCCATAACAGTATCTCAGTTTGGAAGTACTATAATTTTTGAACCATTAACCCATTAGTTAATGGATTTTAAGTAACTTTTCAGATTTTTCATTGTAAGTAGAGCTGAAATGAGCACAATTCACACGTGAGATATTTATTAAGTGTCTACTACATGCCAGCCCCATACAAGATCCTGGAAACACAGAGGTGAGATAGACCAACATGATTCTTGTGCATATGAAGCTTATACATTTTTAGGTTTGTATAAGTATATCCATATGATAATTCTTAGCAGTGGAAATTTTAGGCCCAAGATACAGGTGTATATCATTTTTATAGATGTTGACAAGTTACCAGCTAAAAATGCTGCACTAACCTTACGTTCTGTTAATATGTAAAAGCTTTTTACTGACATTTAAAATAGGGATCTAAATCAGTTCTAAGTTGATTATAGTATATAACTGCCTGAAGTCAAAAGGAATAATAATATAATACGAAATCAAAACTATAAGGGTTTTTTTTTTTTGTCTTGTTTTGTTTTGTTTTAGGCAGAATGAAGGAGGATTTTTTGTTCCTGAAAAGAATATGAAAACGATTTCCCTGGGACACTGTCCTGGTCTGGGTTGCTATGATGTGAGCACCTGATTTTGATGTGGCAAAATTTTCTTGCCTTTAAGCTCAAAAAGGGGCTTCTCTCCTGGTTGTGGAGGAAAGAATATTTCTTTTTTTAAAAAAGTGGCATGGTTTTTTTTTTGTTATTTTAAAAAAGATGACCGGTAAGGGGATCTTAACCCTTGACTTGGTGTTGTCAGCACCTAACTCAGCCAGTGAGTGAACCGGCCATCCCTATATGGGATCCGAACCCGTGGCCTTGGTGTTATCAGCACCGCACTCTCCCGAGTGAGCCACAGGCCGGCCCAGAATATCTTTCTTGATAGAGTAGTATTACTCTTTTTTTTTCTCCCTTAATTTATATCATAGAAATTACCAACACAAGACCAATCTTACTTCATCTTTTCCCAAGTTATTTTTGAAGCAAACCCAGACCACTGACAAAGGTGTGCTAGGGAAATTGTTTTCACATTTATTTTAGGAATAAAAAATGCTACCTCATCCCCTATTTCTGGCAATTATTTCAATAAACTCTTAAAAATATAGAACAGGCAATCATCACACATATTTTGCTATAATAGGTTTTCTTTATGGATTCAGATAGTGTTTTCATTTTGGATACTGGCCTCATACAATAAGAATAAGTAAACTTTTTTCTCTATTGCAAGTAAAAAACTATAGAAAGGTATGGCAACATACGTAACGTATGTGAGCTTTCAGATAACTTCAGTTACCTCAGGAGACTTCATGTGATCACAAACCCAAGACTTTATGTCTTTTTGCAACACAGTATATTTTGTTTTTACAATAATAGGCATGGAATGGAAAAAAGAAGGATGAGGTGTAATGGCATTTTCACGGAGTCTAGAACAACAGTCTTCAACTTAGGTTGCATATCAGAATCACTTGGGGAGCTTTTAAAAATTCTGATGCCCAGGCCATACTCTATACCGATTAACTCACAATCTCTGGGGTGGGACCCAGGTATCAGCCTTTTTAAAAAATTTCCCATTGATTCCTATGTGCAGCCAGGTTCTAGAAGTAATGATCTTGCTACTTAAAGTATGGTTTTGGCACTTAGAAATGAAGAATCTCAGGTCCCATTCCAGACTTACTTAATTATAATTTGCATTTTAAGAAGATAGCAAGTTCATCCTCTGCACAGTGAAGTTTGAGAGGCACTGATTCAGATGCAGGAGTCAGCAAACAGTTTCTGTAAAGGGCCTAAAATATTTTAAAATATGAATATTTTAAGGCTCTGTGGGCCATATGGTCTCTGTTACAGCTGCTCAACTCTGCTGGTGCAGTGTGAAGCAGCCATAGACAGTATGTACATGAATGATCATGGGTGGGTTCCAATAACATTTTATTTAAAAAAGAGGTTGTTTGCTAACCCTTTATCATAGCATAGAGGCATATTTTGAAACAACTCATTTTAACATTAATTCAATAAATAACTTCAGAGAACAAAAAATATCCATAAGAAATAATATGAGCTAAGTGAAATACCTTTAATTTTGCTTAAAATTAAAAATATATTGAGAAATAGTGCATAGTAAGATGCAAATAATTCTACTTCTTTTTATATTGAACTTCAACTGCTTACCACATATTCAAAAGCAAATAATTTTGGTCTGTTTTAAGCAATCCTGATTGTCCTCACTCATACAAGCTAACGAGTTTTTTTTGTTGTTGTTGTTCAGGAAATGTGAGCAAAATATATATGCAGGTGTAAAAGGTAGGAGGTTTTGAATTAAACTTAGTGGCTAATAAATTTGTCGGAAATGGATACAAAATGCCTTTGTGGTAAACTAAAATTTTGTAATATGGAATTCTTTAAAGCAATATTAAAGGTATAATGCTTAGTTTTAAAACTAATTTGCATGTGTTTTGTTTGGGCAGTTCTCACTGCCTCTGGAAGAATATTTTCTGCCAAGTTTTTTACAACCATGATATTACGTTTTAAATATACTCCATGGTATGCTGGTAAATGCTTAACAAGTGGCTCTCCAAAAAAGAGTATGCATTTTATATATGTACAAACATTTATTGTAAATTTACTGATATAAAGGACGTGCAGCACCATTTATAAATATACAACGATCCTCACTGTGCATTATATATAGCCAATTGATACTCACAGAATTCTTTCATTGCTGTTTGCCAGACTCCTGTATCCATAACCAACTATGATTGCAGTCGAACCAAGATTTGACAACATCAGAGTACAAATAAATGCTTGTCTACTATCTGACTCAGCAAATAAGTCACTCACATCACTGATGAGGGAGTGTAGTGTCCCCATGGCTGATATTTTTGTTTATTTTAATAAGATGAAAATGAAACAATGAAAATACGTCAAAACATCATTTTATGTCAATGATGTGAGCGACTTACAATATAACAAGCCCTGATTTGTAGCATTTGCTGATTTCTGTGTTACAGACACTTCCACCATGGCTAATTTTAAGCCACGAACACCATGTAAGTGAACGTGGAGCTGGGAAGAAATGGGCAGTGAGTGGCACATCATTATATAGTATTTTCATGATCTCGAAAGCATCGATATGGAGAATAGTAGTAAAATAATTAGGAAGTGCTCAGTTTCGAGTATTGACTGCTGTTGTTTTTGATGTAAGTTATTTAATCGTAAGTTTATATAATTTAATTGTTTCTAAGTAACAATTAAACAATGGGCTCACAAAACTTAAAACGTAACAATCAGCTTTTGGTTCCAGCAGAGCAAATACAGAAATATTTTATTCCTTTATTTCCCAAAGCTTTCCAAACTACTATTTCAAGAATATGATTTAATCTGAAGAAAACAGGAAGTGTTTAGCACTTACCAAGAAGAGGAGGCAGTGGAGGCAATGTAGGTATCTTAATGAGCTGCAGAAGTTTACCTCCAATGACAGCACAGTAGAATAGAATTATGATTCCAAATAGGTTTCCTCCAGGAAGACATTCACTACCGGTAACTGACCAAACCACAGCCCATAGAAGAACAACCATGGTAACTGAAATAAACCAGAGACACTAGTTTCTATCAACAAATTGTCATATGCATGTTTTGATATAACCTAAAATAATTTTTAAAGTAAATATTGTACAAACATACAAATGTTTATAACCATGTGTAAATTATAGAGAACATTACCAATATAAACTGGGTAATTGCCAACCATTTTAAGAAATAGGATATTACCAGTACCTTTCAATATGCCTATGTGCACCTCCCCAGTCCCATCCCTCATCTCTCTTCCCACTGCCAGAAGGAACCCCTATCTTGAATTTCTTTCTTTTACCATTCCCTTATTTTTCTTTAAAATTTTACCACAAATATATTAGTAGTTAACATTACAAAGAAAAACAATCACTATCTCTACCCTCTTCATAGGGACACAAGAATACTTGAACTCCAATCACACTCCAGTATTTCAGTTCTGTGTTGAATTAAACATTATTGTTTCTTTTTCACAGTCAATGTTTGTTTACCCACATACTCACTTTTTTTTGATCATCATTTATTATGCATCTCAAACCTTTCATCTGGGACAATTATCCTGCTGTCTCAAGTATTTCCTTTAGTAGAGGCATTTCTGTTAGAATGTGAGATGTTTCTCTATTTGAAAACCTTATGTTCTGCAAAATTGTACTCTAAAAAATAGAAAGGTTCATGGGAAAAATAGAGTTGGGGCAGACCACTCATTACTGAAAACTTGTGGCCCAAGCACTGACTAAACCATAAACAATCCTAATAAAGTACTAGCACAGTTGAATCTCGCTGACATTGGTATCCCGCACAGGCAGTTTGTTCTTTGCAGATTTAAACCTAGTAGAAACAACATTTCCTACTTAAAGATGCATGTTCTTGAGGGCATTTGGTTCAAATAGGGAGCATTTCCATCAAAATTTGATCCAGATTATATCCTTCTCCATCAATCAAAAAAATTTTTTTTAACTAACGGAGAAGTGTTGACGATTCTTCATCTGTACTCTCAGCTGCTTCATCCACCTGTGTAGTTTCATTAGATATCATAATGTGGAATGTTTAAAAGTCCTTGAAGCCCCTAAACCAGTTACTCACTGCCTGTACAGAAGGCACTTCCACAGGGACTTCAGCTTTTAAAAGGTTGTTATTTGAGAAAGGCTTTATTTTTAATTGTAAGAAAGCATATACCTGACTTTTTTTTTTTTAGTTTTCAATTCACTTTTCCTTCACTTGCTGTATGATGCAAAACATTAATGTGCCAGGAAAAAATTATGCACAAAAATGCAAATTCCATATCACACTGACATAATTCCCTATTCACCATTGCATATGAACTCATTCATGGTATAGAAGCACTCTATATCAGAGCATACTATATGTATCATAAGGATCTGTTGGTAGTAATTCTTAGTTTTATTGACTGGAAATATCTTTATTCTCATTCTTTTTTGTTTTTGTTTTGTTTTTGCAGCAGCTGGCTGGTACAGGGATCAGTCCCTGGACCTTGGTGTTATCAACATCATGCTCTATACCAAATGAACTAACTGGCCAGTCCCTTTATTCTCATTCTATAAAGATAGTTTTTCTAGGTATACCTCACGTTTATCTCAAATTTTAGGTTGAGAGTTATTTTCTCTTGGATTCTTGAAAATATTCCTTGGTTTCCTGGCTTTCATTGTAGATATTGAGAAGTCTAATTTCAGTTCTTTTAAGGAATGCTTTTTATTCAGCTGTTTTAAAGATCTTATCTTTTCCTTTTTTTTCTTTTTTTGCAATTTCAGTATGGTATATTTAGGTGTGGCTCCCTTTTGGTTTGATTATGTTTGTTTTATCATTTCTGGAAAATTCTCAGTCTTTATTTCTTCAAATATATCTTCTTTTCCATTCTCCTATTCTCTTTCTTATGTAACTATGGTTAGAGAGTCATGCTGTTCCCATGTTGCTAACCCTAGTTTTCATGTTTGTCGTGTGTGTGTGTGTGTGTGTGTGTGTGTGTGTACTGTATTCTAGATAATCTCTTCATCTCTATTCGCCAATTCACCAATTCTCTTTTCACTTAATCTGCTGCCTAATCTATCCACTGAGTTTTAAGTTCAGTAACTATACTATAGCTTTCATTTCTAGAAGTTTATGTTCTTTCTTACTCAAATCTGTGCATTTTTATAAATAGTTACTTGTTTTGCACTCATATTTGCTTGCTATCTCCTCTTTAACCTCTTTATTCTTTAAATATCAAAAATATTTTGTGTTCTATTTTTTGATGACACAAATTTTTGAAATCTGTTTTCTGTTTCCTTTTGCATGTTGTCATTTTTTAGTTTGTTTTTTACAACAGTGAGTTCTTCCTTGGAACTTTACCTGTGGGTTTGTTGGAGCCTTAGATTGAATGTGAGTTTTCCCAGATAGGATTTGATTTGCTTCTACTATGTACTTAGCATCTTATGATTGGGGACCATCTGAAAATGTATCTAACATTTTCAGATTGAGTTTTTTGGTTTTTTTCCTGTGAATTTGGAGCACAAATCAGGAGGAAGTTACACATTTTTAATGGAGACTCCCCACATGCACTGGCCAGCAACCACAGTTGATATAGATAGGTTTAGCTGCAGGCCAGATTTACCTCAAGTTGACCTTCAAATTGGGTTCCATCTCTATGTAGTTGAAGAACGATTTTTCCTATTTTATTTCTCCCATCCTGTGCAGGTTCTAGCTTAGCATCCTGTGCTCTCAGGGTTCTCAAAATCAATCTCAAGTTCGTTAGGTTTGGCAGAAGCTTCCAGGGTGAAAGCCAACCTGAGTGCTTATTAACCTCTCCTACTTATACTTTGCTTTTGGTGTCTGATGATTTTCTGCTTTTTTGACAAATGAAAGGAACATTTAAAAAGATGCAAAATTTTCTGAGATGTTTTTGTTAGTTTAAGTGACAGGATTGTTCATGGAGTCTTGTCTACCCTATTGGTAGAGACTGAATTCAATGTCCCTTTTTAAAACCCTCACAGAATTGTTCCAGATTTTCTAGGCTTATGATACTATTGCAATGATATAACTAAGAGGTCTTCAATATTTTCCAGTTGGCTGTAAGGGCTAAAATTTCTATGTAATATTAAAGGTAGAATGGGAAAGCAGGATTTGCCAGTTACTAAATTCTACTTTATCATAGCATAAACCGAACTTCATACTAAATCCAGCAAGACAGAATTGAGTCCACTTTTCCACTTCAAGACCACTTAAAAAAAAAAAACATTCCAACTCTCCTTTCCTTTCCCATACTCGAAATACGGCTGTAAATACATAGTAAATGTACATTTACAAGGTTTCTCTAAATCACATTTAAAACAGTTAACAATTTACTTCTCATTTATGATTTTGGAAAATCATATTTTCACATGTAAGATTTACTTCTTAAGAATACTTATATACTGGGCCGAGCCCGTGGTGCACTCGGGAGAGTACAGCGCTGGGAGCGCAGAAGCACTCCCGCGGCAGGTTCGGATCCTATATAGGGATGGCCAGTGCGCTCACAGTGCTCACTGGCTGAGTGCGGTGTGGCCGGTCTCAAAAAGGACAAAAAAAAAAAAAAAAAAAAAAAAAAAA